CAGATCAAGGCTTTATCTTTCAGACCTGGGAGAAGGCAACAATCAAAATTAACTTCTCCTATGAGACAAAGGGCCAAAATTAAAACTATTAAATCCCTATAGGCCAAGGGACTATCATGGGAGAGGTGGGCACATGAGATTGTAAGGGCTGATTTTGAGGGATAAAATTAGTTCAGAGTTTTTCTAGAAATTAAACATTAGTATCAAAAGCACACTGATACAGGGCCAGCATCTAGGAACCCATGTCAGAATGGCAGGATTTCTTGGAGGATTGATCTGTTCTTTAATGGAAAAATTATGGAGGGTTATAAAAGGATTGGGGAAATCTTGCCTTGTGGTGGAGCTGGTTAAAATTGGATAGTTTTTTTTTTTGTAAGTTTTATTAAAATTAGCTTTAACATTGATAATATACTATACAGAGGTAAAGTTTGGCTTTTTCTTCCAAACAAAATTTTCATGTAATATTGATAAGAGATAGTAAAAATATTTTTTTTTACATTTTGAGTAAACTACAGGGAAAAGAGGAGAGGAGAGAGAAGGAGACATTTAGTTGACCTCATTCCATCTTTATTAGGTCTTATTGTTTGAGAAAGTGAGTCTCCTCCTATCAGAGAGTAAAAGTTTTTGCTTTTTAAAAAATCCCTAAATTATCATTTTGATTAAATAAAAGGCTATTTTACAGTGATCTGTGAATTCTACATTCAGTGTTTTTTTTTTAACCTCAAACTAACATTTTTTTTTTTTTTTTTGAGTCAAAGTCTCATTCCGTCACCCAGGTTAGAATGCAGTGGCACACTCACGGCCACCCCAGTGTCAACCTGCTGGACTCCGAGGATTCTTCCACTTCAGTCTTCCAAGTAGCTGGAACTACAGGCTCACGCTACCACACCAGGCTAATTTTTTGATTTATTGTAGAGACGAGGGCTCAACAAGTTGCCGAGGCTGGTCTTGACCCTTGGGCTCAGACAATCCTCTTGCCTCAGCCTCCCAAAGTGCTGGGATTACAGGCTTAAGCCACCATACTCGGCCTAGGTTAAAATAATTTTTAATGTCTTTTTTGTTTGAAACATTGGTGATTCTTTTTGTTTTTCAGAGTCAAAAAGCATTTTTCATTTGAGCTATTTATAGCCTTTAACAATTGAGCATACTCTTGTAAACAGAATTTAAGGCATATTTTCTTTCTTTCTTTTTTTTTTTTGAGTTGGAGTCTCACTCTGTCACCCAGACTGGAGTGCAATGGCCGCTTCCGGCCACCGCAGCTTCGTCCTGCTGGGCTCTGGTGATCCTTCCGCCTCAGTCTTCCAAGTAGTTGGAACTACAGGTGCGTGCTACCACGTCCGGCTAATTTTTTGATTTACTGTAGAGATGAGGTCTCACCAAGTTGCCCAGGTGGGTCTCGAACCTGCGGGCTCAGGCAATCCGCTCACCTCAGCCTCCCAAAGCGCTGAGATTACAGGCTGAGCCACCGAGCCCGGCTAGGGCATATTTCTTTATATGTACATGATTTCTTCAGAATTTGAAAACTATTTGTGAGTATTCTTAATTTATATGGTTGTTTGCATAAGTTCAATAAAAATATAACAGGACACAATTAGAGGCATTAATTATTTTACCAAGACTTTGACTGGAATGACGTATTTTCAGGTATCAGCAGACTGCTTTGAGAATTTTTTTTTTTTAGTTGAGGTCTCACTCTGATGCCAGGCTGGAGTGCAATGGCATGGTCACAGCTCGCTGTAGCCTTAACCTCCTGGGCTCAGGTGATCCTTCTGCATCAGCCTCCCAAGTAGCTAGGACTACAGGGGCATACCAACACACCAGGCGAATTTTTTGAGTTTTTTGTAGAGACAGGGTCTTGCTATGTTGCTTAGGCTGGTCTTGAACTCTTGGGCTCAAGCACTCCCTCTGTTTTGGCCTCCAAAATTGCTGGGATTGTAGGCAAGAGCCACTGCATCTGACCATGCTTTGAAAAATTGAGACTGACTTTATAGAGTCAGTATAACCCCCATAGAAAAACTGGCCTCATACATCATGTTCACAGTTCTTTTACAGGTATCCTAAGCTGTGGTAACTAAAAAAAATGCCACTTTCAAACAGGTCCAGGAAACTCAAGATATTTTGAGACCTTGAAAAGAGAAATTCATATAGGTATTAAAAACACTATCTAATGGTGAATCCTTAGCTTTGCTTCTGGTCTTGAAGCTTTTAAAAGGTTAATTCCAAAATTCCTTATAAAAAAAGTTCTAACAAAGCCAACTTAAAGCCAACTTAAAAGAGCCTGTATAGACAAAAATTCTTACTGTACTTTATGCAAGTGATTAGGCCACGTACAGTAAGACTAAACTTATATTACAAATAAATTGGTCCCAATATGATTTATCCTAGGTAAGAATAGAGGACTGGTGAAAGATTATGTTTCAAAAGAAAAGCAGAGTACACCTATTATTAGATTAACCTTTCACTCCTGGGTGACAATGTAGTCACCCATGGTATGGAGCCATAGGTGTGCTACATTCAGTTACTAGAGGTGAAAGTTATCAATCAAATTTAGAGATAGATTCAACTCCTGGGGATTTGGCTCACTGGATACATAGGAAATGCAAACTCATAAGAAAAAGGCAAAATATTCAATGCCTTGGCTATTATCTATAATAGCTAAAATAAAAATAAGAGAGTACTGGGTTGGGCTTTGAGACTGGACCAAGCTCAGATGTGAGTCTGAGCTCAGATCACTAGCCTCAAAACTACCCACAAAAGGGAAAATAATGTCATGGTTCCATAAAAACCTCTGTGACCTTGGTTTCCATAAAGGTATTCAATGTGAGAGACGAGCAAGACTAAGTAACTATTAAAACCAGAGGGTATAATATAGAAAAAATGTTTCATTTTGTAGCTTAGTATCATCAGCTTCCTGAGGAACCCTTACTATTAATAAAATAGATTGAGAGAGTACCTAATTTGAGAACAATGTATTTGGTTTTACAACCCACAGAGTGGAAGAGCATATTTAGGTTGATGCAGGACCCGCAGCTTACTACTGAACAATCCCAGATGGGTATATATAATCCAGACATACAGGAAGTTTTTCCCAAGAGAATGGCGAGCCTAGTAGGCTGGATAAAAGCCATTGTAAGATCTGTTCACTGCGAGAAGGACAACTGTCTAACTCTACCTATAAATGCCAAGTGGAGCACCCCAGATAAAACAACTGATACACTTCGAATACAAGCCACAAGGATTGGCTTTATGACAGGAATATTTTAATCTTCCTTTGTGGTTTTTAGCTTTTAAAAATCATAAAGGGAACACACACTTTTTAGCATGGTTCTCTTGGATTCTCCAGGGGCTTCACTCCAACCTCTTTCATATTTTAAAAATTTAGATTACCTATGTTATTATTCACACCTAAACAATATGCTGTTTGCGTTTAGTTGTTTATGTGTAAATACTCCCAATTACAGGTGCAACATTTTCATTCCTCACCATTATTCCACAACACCCCTCCTCAGCATTAAGCCATCAGAAAAATTGACAACCAGATTTCCCATGATTAAATAACTAAAAAATAGAAAGGCAGGAGGACTAAAACCAGCCCAACTTCCCCACAGAACCACTGGTTACTGTTTTTTTTTTTTTAAATAAACATAGAAATTGGCCCTCCTGATCTTAAAGCTTGAAACTAACATTTGTCTTATCTGAGTTCCTTTCTCAGGAAACTGACCCTCAGGCTGATAGTATTAAGGAACTAAAACTCACCAGATCACTGCAGTGAGATGTCAGACCCCTTCTGTTAACCAACTCCTCTTCCTTACCTTTCCCTAATTCCTGTTTTCTACATTCCTGCCCTATTATATAAACCCTTGACTTCAGTGGGATGGGGAAATGGGTTTGAAACAATCTCCTCGGCTGGTGACACCCAAATAAAGCCTTGTTCCCTGGTAACACTCATCTCAGTCATTGGCTTTCTGTGCAGCAAGCAACAGGACCCAGATCGAGCCCCTGGAGTTTTGATAATGTGATGTTTTGGTATGTGTGTGTGTGTGTGTGTGTGTGTGTGTGTGTGTGTGTGTGTGTGTGTAAACACATACATGTCTATATATATTCAACTAATAATTTAAGCTTCTTTTGTTATAGGCTAAATAACTCCTCAGTGGTGGACTAAATGTGAGAAATAGCATCTAGGAAGGAAGACAAGTCTTTATTCTGTGCCTTCTGTGCTACAGCAAAAACTTTCAGCAGCAGACTCATCTAGAGGGTCTGATCTAGCATCATAATGGAAACTAAACATCAAAAGTCACTGATACCCAATTAAACAGGACATCAGATGACCAGAACTCCTTTGCTAATACTCCATTTCTAGAAATTAGAGGCAGATGATAAGGAAATAAGCTAATGCTTGATATTTACTTTGGCATAAAAAAACCAGAACAGGGCCTGAACTGATTTCAAATCCAGGGTAATAAACACTGCTGATCTAAGTAGCAGGATGATAGTGAAAAAAACAATCACCATGGATTCTATTTCAGAGTGCCTCACATGGAGTTCAGTTACTCATATATACTTGATCAAAAAATCCTTGTAAATAAAATTCTCAGTTTTGGGAGGGAGATGGTTGCAGTCAAGATATAGACAGGGCTCTCCTGCCTAGAGAACCAGATCAGCTGAATCTCCCTGGAGATTAGTGAGGTAACATGTAACCACATTGTGCATAAAACTCCCTGACTTTTTCTGAGGCAATAAAGTGGATCCAGAAAGTTAAATATATCTTCTGAACAGGTAGCCAGAAAGTCTTACTAATGAAAATATCTTATTCTAAATGATCAAGATTCAGTAGACAAAGAGTCCAAACTGAATAGCCTTGGAAAGAAATAATTCAGTATAACAGCTGGGAAAGTAAATTAATTGAGGCAAACACTTTCATTGAATTTCTGGTGGGCTCCGTGCCAACATGATCCCTCCTGCAACCAAAATTAGCACCCTTGTAAAGCAAAGCTACTCACAGCAATAAGCTGATAGGAGTTGTTCATCATGGCAATCAGCATGTTCAGCAGTACTACCAGGGAGATGACGTTGTATGTCCCAAACATGGTAGCTCCCACAAACTCAGTGAACTCGTGTCTGGCTTTCACATTGGTGACATATAGATTTAAAAGGCCAAATACAGACCAGAAGAGTGACTGAAGTGTCTCAAAGAGCCTAAAAGAGAGTAAATATCAGATTAGTTAGTTCTCTAGAAAGAATAAGAAAAAAGAGAGAAAACATGAAGTTATCTGCTTAATAGTGGGGCTGCCAGATTTACAACAGGTAAACTGATCTCACATATTTTGATCTCTTCTCTAACACCAACCAGCCAGGTCAGTGTGATTGTTTCCATTTCTATGTCTTATGCTTTGCTTTTCTCCCCGAAACACCATTTCCTTCTTCTCAGTCTATGTACATAGCCTAAAATTTTTCAAGCCTTATTTCAAAGGCTACTTCTCTACCAAATTTTTCTTTCATCTTCAGACCATGTGATTTACCTCCTTTCTAATACAGAGGCGGTAAATGTAGTGGTTAGCAACATGGTGTTGAGTTAGATTGCATGGGTTAGAATCTCAGTTCTGACTCTTGCTAGCTGAGTGAATGTGAAAGCAAGTTACCATTTCTCATACTTTTTTGTAAGCAGGGCCCAGATGGTGCAAAACTCCATGGAGGAGCTTGAGGATTCTCAAATTAACCCTTTATACAGATTATTATTAATGATATATTAACCAATTCTTATTGAGAACTTACTATATATAAGCATTCTAGGCACTTTTATATACATTATAATTATGATCCTAATAAAGCTTTAATGTTACTGATGAAGAAACAAGTTCGGAGATTAAATGACTTGCCCAATGACACCCTGCTAGTAAGTGCTGAGTCAGATTTCAGATCTAAGTTTGGCCTCCCAAAACCACTGCGTTAGTCTGTATTAGGTGGCTTTACAAATTATTACTTCCTCTCTTAGTCTCCACATTTGGTTTAATCTGCAATGATATGCTTTTGGTGTCTAGAGTTTTTTTTGTTTGTATTCAGCAATCTGCATACAGCAATAAAATGCCGACAGCTCATGGGTGGCACAGATCAATCATTATTTCTCAAGTCTATGGAAGCCATGCAGAGCATGAGAAATGCTACTTTAAGAATGGATGCATTTTTCAATTTGCTCAAAATGTGTTGTTCTTAATGAGCACAATGTATTTTGAGAAGCTTTTGGATTTTTTATTGGGTTCATTTTGGGTTTGGGTGGGAAATGTTTTTAAAAGGCCCCCATCTGGGAGTGATCTCTGGATCTTTGCATAGCTGTCTTCTTATCATCAAGGTCTCATCTTAAATGTTACTTCCTCAGAAAGGCTTTCCTTGGTCACTCTTCCTAAAGCAGCTCCATCAGTTATTCTATATCCTATTGTCTTGTTTAGCTTTCTTTAAAGCACTTAAAACTTCCTAAAATTACATTATTAAGTGATATATTGTTTAAATGATTATTTTCTGTCCCTTTCTACTAGAATGTAAGCTCTATGAGGACAGATACATAAAGCGACTATGTATCTGGCACATAATAGACAATAATATTTATTGAATAAATGAGTGGATAAACATGTTAATTATTACTGTTATCATTAAAGTAGAGAGAATTTCAATCTCATTGACAATTGTACAGTCATCAGGCTGCACAGTGGGGACAAGTTCATTTTGAGGAAGGCTATGTTTTGCACTGGTCTGACTCTCAGAAGGCTTTTTTCTTTTGTTTTCTTTATGAGTTGGAGTCTCATTCTGTCACCCAGGCTGGAGTGCAGTAGCACACTCATGGCCACTCCAGTGTCGACTTGCTGGGTTCCAGCGGTCCTTCTGCCTCAGCCTTCTGAGTAGCCGGAACTACAGGCGTGCGCTACCACACCCAGCTAATTTTTTTTAAACTTTAGAGATGAGGTCTTGCCAAGTTGCCCAGGCTGGTCTTGAACCCGCGGGCTCAGGCAATTCACTTGCCTCGGCCTCCCAAGATGCTGGGATTACAGGGTGAGCCACTGAGTCCAGCCAGAAGGCTCTTTTCAGGGCTACCTAGGCAACATACACAGAGCCCTTCTAAGCCTTTTCAGTGGCTCTTCTCTGATCATCATAGATAACTTTCATGATCCTTTCAGTATCACATTGCTGGTGAGCTAGGCTAGAAGACAGAAATTTGATTTTTGTTTAATGAAAGTAGATGCCAGTTGGTGAAGCATTTGAGACTCAACAGTACGATGATAGTCTGAAGTTCAGGGGCAGGGCACAAGAACCAGATCTATTACAGGATCTAAATTTTTGGGAGACTCTACCAGTCAGGGCCAGGCAATACAATGCATCACAGAGTCAGACAGAGGATCAAAAAATGAGGAAAATATAGGGTTCAGAAGTCTGGCCTTGCTAGGAGGGAACAGTCAGGATATGGTGATATGCATTAGACATGAGAAGTCATGGCAGGCAGGAGGCCAGCAATGACACAAGCAGCAAGCACAGCAGCTGGAAAACAGAAGCCAGGGCAGATATGGTTTAGAATAAAAGAAAGCAACTGTAGTGAATGGGAACAACATTCTGAGAAACCAGAGTTTCTGGAAGTTGAATGACCTCAAATACAGAATGCATTCAATAAGTGTTTGTTGATTGCCTGACAGACAATAAGGCCACAAACCAGTGCAAGTATGTCATCAATATGGTGGTAGGGTCTTACTGAATTAGTTGCTTCTTCTGAATAGATGATGTTACACTCCTTCACCCCCACCCCTACAATAATTAAAATTGCAGTGGTTTATGCTTGAGTGGAGTTTACTGCTAGTTGTATCAATGGATACAAAGCTTTTCTAAAAGTGAAAACCTGAGCATGTAAAATCCACCCTCAACTGTGGGGATATTATATTTGGGGAGATCATATGGATAAAATTGTAAGAGGGGAAAGTGGAGTGGGGGACGGGAAAGATTGGTCCTCAGTTTTGGTGGTTGGTAGTGAGAATGCCCTCAACATGGTACACAAAACGTCACAATGTGGTTTGTTCACCAAGAGAAGTTGGTCTGCTGAAAAACATGCCTAGGTAAAGTGGGAGACTGGCATGTGAGGTGGGAAAGAATATTCTGGTGAGACATTTGTAGGAAGCTCTGTGGCTTCTAGACTCAGTTGAATTCCCAAGGAAAGGGCCACCACAGGGAGGGGGCATTGCTTGATGACTATATCCATAATAAAGTAACTTACTGACTTTGTTATGAAAAGACTTGTTGACAAAACCCTAGAATCCTACTAATAAAAGAATATCTATGCAATTTTAAAGGGAACTATTTTAGAAAAAACAAGTCCATTTTTATTTAGCAGAGAGCAAACAAACATATGGAAATTGCTAACTCAAGAAGGGGTACAAACTGAAGATACAAGATTCAGAAAGACTTGATATTAAATGTACAGAAGAGAAATCCATGCCAGGTGGTTAAGGAGGAACTTGTACATATTGGGAGCCATCCACAAATAAATCCCAAAGCTAAGAGAGGTACAGGAGAATAGTAATGGGAACCGCAGTTCTCTGAACACTTGCTGAAAGTCTCATCTTTGAGGTGAGGAATTAATATTTTAGAAGACAGAAGGAATATGGGAGGATTTACCTCTCTGGACCTAATTCATACCAACAAAGACAAACTGGAGGGTGAACTCAAGGAGAAAGGCTCTTTGGAAGAAAGCAATGACATCATCCTGTCTTTCCCACGTTGTGTTTTGATAGCCCAAGTGGAGCAAAAGCATGGTTGGTGCTTTGGCCTCATTCTTATTCTTAGCCATTCAGCTGTTCCCTAAACCTGCTATTTTCTCATTTCACCATGACTTTGACAAGCTTCTAGCTCTTTATGGAATGCTCCCACTCTGTCCCCAACCTCTAACCTCTACTTCTGTCCTGTCTTCCTTTCTGTTCAACTCATGTTTGGCCATCAAGGTTCAGCTAAACCCTCACCTCCTCTAGAAGTCTTCTCTAATTCCTTTCTTACAAGACTGGGTTAGATGATCCTCTTCTATGCTCCCTAGCCTTGCTCCATAAAGGCATAAATCACACTGTATAGGCAATAGAGGGGAGTGACTAAGAGCAAACTTTAAACCTCTCAGTTATTAACTATATGACTTTGGGAAACTTACGTAGCCTCTTCAAGCTTTAGGTTTCCTCATCTCAAAAAATGGTTATTGGTAGGGAAAATACTAATTGCTAACATTTACTGAGCTCTTTCTATATGCCAAGCTTCATGCTAAGTGACCCACCGTGGATGCCAAAATCTGTGGATGCTCAAGTCCCTGATATAAAATTGTGTAGTATTTGCATATAACCTACTCACATCTTCCCCAATACTTTAAATCACTTCTAGATTACTTATGATAACTAACAATGTGAGTGCTATGCAAATCGTATTGCTTCAAGAATAATGACAAGAAAAAAGCCTGTGTATATTCTGTACAGACACAACCATTAATTTTTTCTCAAATATTGTTAATAAATGGTTGATTGAATTCATGGATGCAAAACCCACAGACATGGAAGTCTGACTATATTCCAATATTTGATTATAACCCCATAAAGTAGCTATTATTCTTCCATTTTTCATATGAGAAACTGAGGCACAGAGTGATCGCACAGGCAGGAAGTGGCCAAGGTAGAATTTGTACCCAGCTCTTTTGACTCTGGAGTTCACACACCTTACTCTATCATCTTAGATACTGCATGTAAAATGCTCAACACATTAAAGTGCTTGGTATATGGTAAACATTACAAATGGCAGCTATCCTGATTGTTTACTTGTGTTCTCCACTAGACCATGAACTTCTTGAGGATAAGGATGCTGTCTTACTCACTATCTGCATTGCCTGGTACATAGGAGTTGCTGAAGAGATGTTTGTTGAATAAATCTATAAAAGATGACAGGAGAAACACATAACCAAGGAAAGTACAAGTGGCATCATCCTGTGATAACAGCAGCACGAAGAATATGAACTGAAATTGGGGGGGGGGAAGCTGGAGAAAGCCAACAAGGACCCTTATAACTTAATCAGAACAACAAGAAGAGCCTTTGATGGGCATTATGTGTGTATCCATGTAAATAAGATGGGAAAATATTGGCTGAATAATGGATGGAGAAACCACCACTGATTAAGTAGAAATAACTGCAAATGA